TGATGATGGTGGTGGTGATGGTGATGATGGTGATGATGATGATGGTGATGGTGACCACGAAGCAACGCCGTGTAAATAAATGAAAGTGACTGCTCTCTTTCTTTCTCTTTAATTATTCGGCTAAGGCCAATGAAACTTTTGTTTTATTGTTTCTACATAATTAAGTTCTTGTTGGCCGTTGTCTTATTGTTTGTTTCTATGGTAAATAAATTTTATTTTAGCAACTTTTATTAGTTTTATTTCTCTACTGCCTTGGCTCTGTTTGGCTTATTGTGACATTAGCATGATGCATACATTTTCATGGCAATATTTTCTTTGCTGCTGAACACGATGAGCTTCATCACTTAGAATGAAGCAAAATGAAAGCACTGATCGGGCAATCTGCAAATTCTTCCTGGAGAGTCTGGCTGTCATGAAGCTTTTTCCTTTGGTTGCTAGCACACAAAATGCAACTACAAAAATGCAATTTTGTAGCCACTGAAAATTAAAATTAATTGACATACAACACACACAAGACAGTTGTGCATTAGTTACATCACAGTCACATTAACCATAGGACATCTTTTTGTACAGAGGTCACAGACCGTATATAAATTCCTCCATGTGTACTCAACTGTAAATCTCCACATTACATCTGATGGCCCTGTTCTTGTGACCATTTGGATCACTTTTTCCCCTATTTTGAACTACAAAAGGATGCATCTGTGGAAACTTTGTGTGCGTGTTTATATGTGCATGCCCCCATAAGGCCCAAGTGATCCCTTGGTGTGTATGGGCCCAGCTGACGTCAGGCTGGCCCTAACAGATGGGTCCCTGAATGCCTCATTTACTGGACTATTGCTACTATTGAGAGCAGCACAAGGCAGAAACCCCCCCAGAAAAACTTGTATGAACTCAAAACGTAGGAACATGCAGGAATGTTGAGGGTTCAGCTGTTATAATGGACACTGAGCTGCATTCAGTTTACTTCAACGATAACAACACTATCCAAACACTCCATGTCTCGTTATAGACTGTAAAATAATACAGTTAACTATTATAGAAGGATTTGCATTTTTAAATTCATTTGTGTAAATATCTGGATAGATGTTTATGTTAAATTTACTAACAAAACAACAACATGTAAATGGTTTGTTCTTCTTCAGTGGAACAAATGTGTGAGGCTCTAGGCATGGAGAGTTTTTGTAAATCTGGACTATGCCAGGGCATGAAGTAGAACCATTGCTCTGCATCTCCACCAGCAACAAAGAGAGAAATTTGCTGCCAACACCTGAACAAAAGCAGCTTCAGTGAGTGGTTTCCCCACTAATTTATTATTTCTAAGAAAATCGATTAATGGTCTTTATTAATTAACGGCATAAAAAAAAATAAAAAAAATCATGGTCTAATAGTCATTTTAGTTATGATGCCAGACATCCCACAATTTTGAATTGGTTTCTGGGGATGTTGTTTCTGAAATACTAACCCAAATGAAACCCTCAATAAGCTCAGCTGATATTTTACCTACAATCTAATTTGTTAAACTCTTTGACTCTATCGATTCCTCTGCGGTCCCTCTAAATTGCTCTTTGCCATCAGGCTGTGTTCCAGGCTACTTCAAACACGGTGTTGTTCAACTCCTGTTGGAAAAACAAAGCCCAAACCTGGACTTGTCACTACCCATGGGCTGTAGGACCATTTCAAAACTTCCTTTTATTGCCAGAATATTAGAAAAGCTTGTTGGGACACAATTACGGAAGGTTTTGAAGTAGCAAAACTTTCAGTGTGGGTTTCAGAAAGTTACATTCCACTGGAATAGCTCTCCTTAAAGTCCTCTAATGACCAAATATAAGTGACTGTCCAGTCCTTGTTTTGTTGATAGAGGAGTAGACAAACTGGCTTTCCAGGCTAAACGATAATCTTCTAAATTAGTGGGAGATGCTAGTTCCTCTTCAGCTTATGCCTTATCTGCTTAAGGTACACATTTGAGAATTATATCAGGGAGTCAAATAGTCGACTACTCTTGTAAGAATTTTGGATAAAAGGAAGGTCGAAGATTGTTTAGCAGTTTAATTACTATCTGATGAAATAAAAACAAATGTGCAATATAAATGTTTGAAAGAAGTGGATCTATCAAATGATCCTAGATATATCACCCCTAGAGTCAGTGTCAAAGGGACTCTAAGTGAGAGTTTCTATGACAGACACTGCACAAGTATGATCTTTGTACCTCAGTGTTTACCGGCACATTTAAAATACGTCATCTAATTTATGCAGTTTACTTCAGAAGCAACAACAGCAGGTTTAATGTGCTGTTACGAGTTTTCCTCCTGCCTGTATGACAGAAGTGAACAACATTCACCTTTAATGATTCATCCGGACTCATTTTAATCCATGTCAGGAAAGCTGGGGAGGTCCCCTGTGTGAGTGTCACTGAATGTGCACTCATGCATATTAGAGAAAAAAAAATCAATGTAGGTTTCCTGTGAGTTAGCTCACTGGTGTGAGAGACAGTTGTGTGTGTGTGTGTGTGTGTGTGTGGTTTCCAGACTAGCACAAGCATGATCCCATTTTTGTAGCATGATACTTTGATGTCCTCATATTCCTGTCACTCTTCTCAGTGTGGGGTTTAATTTAGCCGCTCTCTGCTGTGGAACATGACGCTAATAACACAGCTGTGGCCTCACTGAAAGCTTTGCTCTGTCTTTTTCTTTTTAAATCTCTACTTGGTGCATGGACTTCCCCAGCTACGACGAGCCCCTAGGACAGTAAGGTTTGGGAAATACAGTTAGTTTGATTACAGGCTGCATTAAAGGTACCGTGTGAGGGTTTAGACAAGGCATAATAAATCTGAGCCTTTCTTGAA